GGGCGGGCGTGCCGCTCTTCCCTCCCCGTCCCCCCAGGCAGAGTTCTGGGTCGCGTTCTCAGGACAAGGTGGACGCGGGTCTGCCCGCTCACCCCCGTTTAGACAACTCATGGGAGCTGAACTGGGGTGGTTAGTTACACGAGGGTGTGGGGTGGGCCTAGAATGCATGGCTAATAGGGGGAACCATGGTGCAGCTGGCTCCTGGTTAGCGTGTTTTGTGAGAGTAGCCCTATTGGAGAGATTCCGGTTGGTTGTGAGAATGTGAAGAAAAGGGTTAAGTAACTCTCTTTGAGCGTGTCCTGCCAATGCTGTTGAGGGTTGGGTTCACACAACTCCCTTAATTTAGCGTGTTCAAGACCTAGTACTTGCACTGGCACAAAAATGCTAAGCTGGGTTAATGTTAACCTGAGTTAGTTTGGTCACAGCTTGGTGCAGTTCAGTTGCATTGCTGAAAACAGATTAATTCTGTTTCTGTGGGAAAATAGCTGCTGACGTTATAACACTAAGGGTGAGAGTGTTGGTGAATTGGGGAGTTGTTTATTCAGCAAAGCATGGCTTAACCCCTTACGAATAATGGGATGCAAGAAAACCCAAAACTTGCCCTGCTGGGTTTGCATTTTAATGTAGGGCCTGGAGAGGCAGGATAATTTGGTAAAATGAAGATCTGATTCATAGGGTAATTCCCTAATCCAGATAATCCAGAATATTGTTGCAATTCCATGCCCCCTTACTGAAGCTCCCACTGAATGGGGTGGGATGCTTCCAAGTTAAGAGACAGAGGACTGTCCCCTTTATATCTTTCATCAGTTAGGTTCGCCCCTGTAATCAATCATGGCTCATTTAATCATGGTCTGTTTCTGTCAGCACACACCATGTGAATTTGGCCCTTGTGGTTTCTAAAACATGGTTGAGGGCTTAGTCGCACTAGTGTGTGAACCCAGCCTGGAGTTGTCAGCGTTGCAGACATTTTGTATGGATTCGTGTGAGGACAATCATGTCCAATTATTCTAAATTGATTAATCGTATAAAGAAAAAGAATGTTGGTTTATAATTTTCTAACAGAGGTTCCATTTTGAGAGGAGGGAGGGTCTCTTCTAAGAGATAGTTTTATAGTATTATTTCACTCCCCTCCACTTTACTGCCTGCTGAATTACCCCTTTCTACTGTTTCACATCATCTGGTAGTGGTGGGGTTAACCCAGGGGTCGATGGGCTGCAGTTTCATCTTGATGTCTGATGAGCGCATTCAGACAGGCAAAGGATACCTTGACTGGCTTGGGTGTTGCTTATCTGAACTTGGAGCAAGATGTGAGCAATGTGACAAACATGGTTTAAGTGTAGTTTATTGAATCAACTCTTGTTGGCTGGATTTGCACCTTCTGCTGAGCTGGGAATCAGGCTCTTGCAGCTTGCTCAGTCACAATGAAGCAAGCCACACTCTGACTTTGTGCTCTGTTTCTCGGCGGCTGGGCCTTCTCACTTTCTTGCTGCTCCAAATGAATTCATGATGGGATAAATATTTCACAGCCCTCTGTGGGATTGGATTACTTTGGTGTAAACAAATGCTCTGAGATCAGTTTCCTCCTCCTGCTGCATTCATCAACGGCTCCTCTCCAGATGGTGTGACCGATAAGCTACCCTCTTATCTTCTCTCTGCCATGTTTAGAAATCTCGTGGCAAACACAGACTGAAGAAACAGTGGTTGGGTTCACACATTGCAGTAAGCCCCAATATGGGTGGGTGAGGACTGAGGAAGGTGTGAACCCATCCACCATGTTCTACGACTCACAGCTTGCACTCTGGCCTATTGAACAAAGCATGGCTCTGCATGATTGAATCCTGCTCATTGTTGTGCTCACACATTGAACTCATCGATAGATAGTTGACTAAACCATGATTAGTTGGATTCATGTAACCTTAAGCTAAAATTTGAGCAAACCACATGATGGCTTAGCGCAGTGTGTAAACCCAGCTGAAAGATTAGACTTTTTTTCTTGGGAAGAAGAGGGCTGAATTCTTTTATGGACAGAATATTCATAAAGTTACCCTTCATTTTTTCCATTGAGCCTGCATATGTTGGTCTGTTGTGAATTTTTTTTCTTTTTCATCCAGTGAAAGACGATCTTTGGAAGGTGACCAGTTTTCTATAGCTTTGAGTTTCAGCATAGGCATTCCTTTTTCCAGGTTGGCTTTAGTTTAGAATTTGGAACTTAATCTCTTCTCCTCCTTCCCTTCCATCTGCCTTTCCTGTCTCTAGCTCCATCCATTGGGTTGGACCATAACTCCCAGCTCATCCGAGGTGGGAATTCAGGGCCCTGGAGTCTACCAAGTTCAGAGGATGCTGGGGCAAGCACAGTGGGACTCCCATGGTTTGGATGCTTACAATGTTCTCTTTGTTTCTTTGCAGACATGATGATCTGAAGGAGATGTTGGACAGCAACAAGGATTCATTGAAACTGGAAGCTATGAAGAGGATTGTGGCGGTGAGTATCTCTTCAGAGCTGTCGCATCTGCTCTCTTCTCTGATTGCGGGATGATGCCCAACCCAGCTGGGGCTTCTTTCCTTCTGTTTAAGGAGTCCAAGACCCAGCATCCCCTCCCCTCTGGTTTGAGGGAGTTGTGTGAAGATTGTCCTTTCTCTTTTAACTCTTCACCTAATGCCAGGCCTTTGGGATTACTTCCTTGGCAAGAAAACATGAACCCTTGAGGTTTTATGAACAGGCTCTTGTGGCTAAAGATGGCTGGGAGATAAGTAAGTGTGACATCTCACACCTTCTGCCTAAAGCATTGAGAGAGGAGGATACCATTCTGTTACCTCTTCCTGTATTTATATATATTTATGTTTTTAATGTTTGTTGTGAGTCGCCCAGAGTTCCCCCATCG